GTGTTCCCTTTTCTCCACATCCATGCCAGCATCTCTGGTTTTGGGATTTTGTGATATGGGCTAATCTCACTGGAGTTAGATGATATCCCAAAGTAGTTTTGATTTGCATTTCTCTGATGATTAAGGATGGTGAGCATTTTTTCATATATCTGTAGGCCGTGCACCGATCTTCTTTAGAGAAATTTCTCTTCAAATAGCTCCTCTAGCCTTATGGCAAGTTTCTTGTCTTTTAAGCTTAGCAGGAAAGAATATGCAGCTTGTTCTCAAATCTTTCGGAAGAAACCATCTATGTTTCTCCGTTTCTTTTGGGTAGAGTCCTAACTCCTTAACTGCCACACCTTATCTGCTCTGCCAGCTCATCCCTCTCTCTTTCTGCCTTGTGGCTTAAAGCCAGGGCTGTACCAGGCTATTTCACACATATGGTACTTTCTCAAATGTGCACGTGCCCTTCCTTCCATCTCCCAGGAATATCCTTTGGTTCCTTTTCCACCTGAGATTCTACCCATCCTTGGAAACCCTTTTCTATGCATCACCTCTTCTAAGAGGCCTTCCCTGGTTGATGCCATCTAAGTTACTCTTGCCCATATATACTCAGCCCTGGGGAGACACCTGCCTTGTGGGGATGAGCACAGTCACAGGCCATAGATTTGTGTCTCCCACAACCTCGCTGGAGCAGACACTCTTCTCTCTTTAATTTTGTAACCCATAGAACTGGCCATAGACTGGGCACTACGAAATAACCTTTGAGTTCGGTGTTGGTTCTGAAATACTTACATCAAAGACTTCTCACTGGAATCTGGGGGATTGAAAGGGGGTTCGGAAGAGAGACAATATCTTCAAGCTGCAATTTGCTCTTTGCAAGAAACTAGAGAGAGGGTGCCAAAAAATGTATACACAATTTAAGAAAGAAAAAAACTGTATTTAATTTGTAATACTCAGGTCACATTTGACTTCTGTAATTGTAAGAGGTGCCCAATAGGACTTAACTTCATCTTTTGTTATCAGTATATATTGAGTGTTACAATTTTAATACTGGTTTTTTTTTTCATTTCTTAAATTGTGTATACATTTTGACACCTTCGATAGATTGCCTATTTTAAAGAATTGCTCGGGGAGCACGGACAGAAGTGTTCCCACACACCCTCTGGGTACCACTGTGTAAGGGAAGAGAACGGGGAGGGAAGGAAAGAAATTCCTTGGAAGAAAAAGCTTGACTGCCTAGTGAACATAGAAGAGAACCCTGACAGGGGACACTTTCTCACTCCTTCAGAGGAAGCAAGCTCTGACATACACCTGTCTTCTTGTGAACCCGTGTTCTCACTGCTGTGTCCACGAGGGAATCATAGGCCCCTATCTTCATTAAAAACAAAAAACTATATAAATCAAACCCGTAATTTCTCTGATTGAAACTTCTATAACACTGCTAAGCTAGGACCACGAGTTAGGCTCTCTGGAAAACCCTGACCAAGTTTCTTCCTGCTCTGGGTCCTCAGTTTCCCCATCTGTAAAACAGAGATACTAGCAACACCTCTCTTTTAGCGGCATTGAGTTTCAACCATCATTAAGAAATTGTTTTGGAACAACACTTCAGAGCTCCGGGGAGATGAGAAATTGTTTCCTCTTTTATTCTGGGAGACTTGTCCTGTGGGGAGCTGGAGTGTCTCTTGGACCTGACTGTGTTTCTGTGGTGTCCAGGGACGTGGGAGCAATGTCATACACTGCCGGAAAGATGGCACCTGGAGTGGCTCCTTCCACGTCTGCCAGGAGATGCAAGGCCAGTGCTCAGCGCCCAACCAGCTCAACAGTAACCTCAAACTGCAGTGTCCTGATGGCTACGCCATAGGTATGATGGGCCCTCAAAGGGAGCAGTGCAAGGGGGCATGTCCTGCCAGGAACTTGGAGCTAGTACCTCGAGACCCAAAAGAGACTCAGAGATGGGGTATGGTGAAGTAATGGTCAGTGAGTGTGCAAAGGTACCCCAGAGTAAGGGAAAGCTGTCAAGTGCCTCGGGGGCCAGGGCTGGCACAGAACACTCCCAGAAGAAGGGGTGCTTACCCAACAAGTCGGACGACCTTATCAGGCAAGAGAAATGGTGTTCCAGGCAGAAGGCACCGTGTGACCAAAGATAGCAGGAAATAGGAAATCACAGGTTATATTTATTAGTGATCTTAAAATTTGCATTATGCTAAGCACTCGTGAGTACTTCTTATGGGTGAGGTCCTGCATGAAGCTCTCAAGGGCATTCTATCCCACCCTCATAATTAACTTTTAACAAACGAGGAAATTAAAACTTGAAGGCGTAATGAAACGTGAGAGAGCTCCCCAAATCCTGAGAGCTGTCCGACTCCACCATCTGGCTTTTTCTATGGCATTTCAGCCCCTTCCAAAGGAGAATTGATAGCATTTTCAAAATCTTCCTTGTGCAGTGTTAGGCCAGCCTGAGAAACACATGCAGGAAAAAGAGGCTGGTGCTCGATGCCAGGGATTAGCCTGGTTAAAACCAGGCATCTGGACAGCCACATTAATCACAGGCCCCGCAGCTTTCTGGGGAAGTGGGAGTGCGTGGAGTCTGACCTCATTTAAGGGCAGTGCGGCTGACCTCTTGGGCTGATTCCCTAATTGACCATGATGAAAAGCCCAGGGAATTGAATGTCCTTGCTTGGGGCCAATGTGATTTATGGGGCAATTGCCAGGGGTGTCTGGCACAGAAGGTTATCTGAGTATACACAGAACCAACACATTCTTCACCCAGCAAAGTGAGAGCTATCGCTGCACACCCAGAACCAAGGCCTGTGGCTGGAGGGGGAGGTTCATGGACACTGACCACCTCCTTTTGAAGATGAAAACACATAACTTCTGAGAGGAAAGGCTCTTCATCTTGGCTTGGAGCAGGACTCGGCATCCTTGCATTTAGTACAGGGCACTGGCTCCTGCACGGGTCAGAGAACACCAAAGCACACAGTCCTTCTCACCGGTGATTCGGAAAGTATTTTAAGATATTACACACCTGCCAGTCCATGGCACCTCAACCAGGAAAGTTGTAGAGAGATGGGCTCTCAGAGGGTCTGCCAAGGTAGGCATTGGAAGTTTGGGGCAACAGGTGTTGTCACAGTGAGCAGCACTGGCTGCTCCAAACCACAGCCAGGATTTCACCTTTCCATCATTCCTGGTGAGCGAGCCTGCCTCTGGACAGTGTGACGGTGGTGGGATCCAAACCTCCAGCTCAGTCAGAACATAGAAGTGAATATTCAGTCAGACTCATACCTGGCATCGTGTGGCCTTATAAGAAAAAAGCTGATTCAGTGGCCTTTATATAAAATGATAGAAACAGATCTTTTGTATGTCTACACCCACTGACACATTCAAATCTACGGGAGTTTTTACACATGCATAAGTGAACATACATCACGTAGCCCCAAACACACATACCGTACTGTAAGCTCACGCCTAGCACCTACACCTCAGCCAAACACCACACAAGTACATCACCCCCACATATACATAACTAGCACATAAACCTACACACACACACACACACACACAGACGCGCGCATGCACAAATCCAATATACAAGCACATAGACTTTATGGTAACGAACATATCTTATGCACTGAAACATTATCAAACACACAGAAAGATGCGTGAAATGCACACAGATCACACACACACATTTACACAACTATGTCTTACAGCCACATGGTGCATCCATATGTCATAGCCGGGCTGGGACATTCATCAGCACAACAGCAGGCTCTCTACTCTCCCTCAGAACCGTGGGGTGGGGGGAAGAGGCAGGACGGTGGTGCCTCTTCCCGCACTGAGCTTTCTCCGGTTCTGGATGCTGAATCATCTCCCCCTCCCCAGTGCCCCATGTTCTCATGGCAGGGCCTAATTCCTGGATGCCCACGTTTCAAATGTAGTGATCCAGGGCTGGTGGTGAGTGGGTTGGGGCACACGAGTAGGGGGGGCATGGAGAGAAAAAGCAGCGCTGGGAGCCTGAGGGAGCAGCGGGCAGGAAGGTGGACGGCAGAAAGCAGCTTTCCCTCCCCATCCTCATCTCCCAGTGCCCCATACATCCACCTCTCAGGCAGAGCCGCTCCCCGGGAGAGCCCATCGCACCGAGGAGAGCCCACGTCAGCAGGGGCGCGGTGTGTGGTGGGCTTGGGGCCTGGCAGGCACATTCTCCTTCACCTGGACCACCCCCCTCAGCAGTGGGAGCCTCACAAGCAGCCTCAGAGAGTTGCTGCCACTCTCCTCCAGCCTCTGCCTGCCTCGGGGGAAGGAGAGGTGGGGTCTGATGAGATCACCGCTGTGCACTGATGCCAATTACAGCTCATATATCACAACACAGCAGCCTGGTCCTGCAGCCCCAGAGCCCAGGCATGGGCAGGGGAGCCACAGAGAGAGAGGAATTCAGACAGGACCATTGCTGAGGAAAGCAAGTGTCTCCTGTTCAGACACTTTTTCTTCCTCGCCCTCTCTTTGGATAGGGACAGCCTTGTCCAAGTCCCAGATGCTGCATTTTCTTTTTGTTTCAAAATAACTTTTATCATCACAGCTTTGTCTCATCTTTGCTCCCTACAAACTACTTTAGAACCGGTCTCTTGACAAAACACGCACCAGGAAACAGTTTCTCTGACTGCTTAGAGATTTTTGTATTTTATTCTCATCACTTATCCTTTTTGTCTTTTTTGGGCTTCCCCTATTTTTTTCACTCCCCTGGCCCCTCACCTGCCTCTGCCCTTTCAACCGCTGCCTCCCTCTTTGCTCTCTGTGGGGCTGCGGCCTATTGAGTGTGGGACCTGGAAGTCAGGAGATGTGGGTTTTAAGCCAGGGCCCTCTCCTGGCCAGCTCTGTTCCCTGGGCTCTGTGTCCTCCTTCCTGTGAAATGGGGATGATGACACCTGCTTCACGTGGCCGGACTTGCGAGAAAATGAGACTACCTAGGAAAAACCAGGAATCTGCCCTCATCAGGCTCAGCGTCCCCGTGTTTAAAGTGCAGAGGGCGCACACATTGTCCCGCACCTGCCACTTCTTCTTTGTGGGTCTCTTAAAGAGGATGATAAGATGGCAACAGGGAGGAGGCTGGCTGCGCTGTCTGCATGTGTGTGTGCATATGTCTGCATGTATGTTGCACAGCTATGTACACGTATGCCTGTGTGCACATATGCACATCACATATGCATTTGGAAGGGAGCCTTTAAAATGACTGACAGAACAGGATAAAAAAAGATTTAACTTGCTCTGAGTCATCTATTTACTTCTTTTTTTTTTTTTTTTTGAGACAAAGTCTTACTATGTTGCCCTTGGTAGAGTACCGTGGTGTCACAGCTCACAGCAACCTCAAACTCTTGGGCTAAAGCGATTCTCTTGCCTCAGCCTCCCAAGTAGCTGGGACTACAGGCCCCTGCCACAACACCTGGCCATTTTTTGTTGTAGCTGTCACTGTTGATTTTAGCTGACCTCGGCTAGGTTTGAACCTGCCAGCCTGGGTGTATGTGGCCGGCGCCCTACCCACTGAGCTACGGGTACCACCCTACTTCTTTTTTGTTTTTTTGACACCTAGTCATATTCAGTAGCCTTGGGTAGAGTACTGTGGTGTCATAGCTCACAGCAACCTCAAACTGTTGGATGTAAGCAATTATCTTGTCTCAGCCTCCAGAGTAGCTGAGACTACAAGTCTGTGTCACCATGCCCAGCTAATTTTTCTATTTCTAGTAGAGACAGGTTCTCATTCGTTGTTCAGGCTGGTCTCAGACCCCACAGCTTAAGCAATCCACTCAGCTCAGCCTTTCCTAGTGGTAAGATTCCAGGCCAGAGCCACTGCACCCAGCCTCCGAGTGACCCATTTAGTGTTTGGAGGTTGGTTTGGGCACTAAGACAGAGAAATGAACTCCTCGGGGCCTGGGAAGATTCTGACGGTTTGTCTTTGCCCCCACAAATGAGAACCTCTTTGGAGTGCTGGGAGGGATGGAGATAGGCTTGATTTTTCCGGAGACCTCAGAATGTGTGAGGTCAGGGTGGAGAGCCAGTGAGCCAGACTGCAGTCCACTGGCCAACCCACAGGCTGAATGAACATCAGTTTTCTTCCCCTGGATGGAGGGCTTCTGTATACCAGCCCTGTCACCATCAGTTATCCACCCTTTCACTGACTCATTACCTGGCTTTTAAAAAATTCCTCTATCCATTAAATCCATCATTCACTCATTCAGTTATCCATTTACAGACTCACTTTCTCCTGAAGATACCTAAATGCCCATTCATCATTCACTTGTGCCGTCCATCCATCGTTCATTCCCTCCCCTCCCCATCCATCCACCACCCCCTGCTTCTCTGTCTCTTACATTCCTTCCCAAGTCCTTCCTCAGTGCCCACGCTCTGCATACACAGAGCCAGGCTCCAGGCACAGAACAGGGAGCCTGGACAGTGCTGGCCCCTGGAGGGACAACCCAGCAGGGTACAGAGCTACTGACACAACAATCACCAAACAAATGGGAAATGGTCACATGACAAGTGATGAGTCTGGTGCCCAAGAGGGGGTTGGCCTGTCAGGAAACCATGGAGTTCTTCTCTTAGCAGGTGGCACTGGCATGGAGGTCTGTGGGATCATTAGCAATGAGCTAGTTGACAAGGGCACAGAAGGGTCTTGGAGGCACAGGGGAGGGCAGGTTGAAACCCCCGGAGAGAGAGGTGTGAAGACTCAGAAGCTGACTGCTCGGTTGGCCAGCACTCACTGTGCTCTATCAGGGTGTCGGGTACCCAGTTAGACACGAGGATGAACCGACTTCATCCTTGACCTCCGAGGGAGGGCAACACTCTAGCTGTGGAGGAGAGACATAGACAATGAGGTCAACTAAGGACTGAGGCTCCTCAATGCCCAGAGGGAGAGTCCTCAAGCAGCAGGGCTTGCAGAACACGGAGTCCTCTTGCTCCATTGCAGAAATCTGGGCTGACTTCTTGGAGGAGTTGAACTGGACCCTGAGGGACAGGTAGAATTTGGTCATGGGAAGACAGGTCAGGGGGACATTTCAGGAGACTGGGTGAATAGGAGCAGAAGCCCAGAGGCCGGGAAGTGGTGTGAGGCTCAGGTAGAAAACCAAGTGGAGTGCAGCCCAGCTGGACCAACCAAAGTCTGAAGGTGTTTGGTGGGACAGCAGATGGACCAGGCCACAGGAAGCATCAGAGGCCCAGCAAAGAAGGTTGCATTTTGTCCTGGGTGTGGGGAACCTTGGGAAGGTCTGGGAGCAGCAGCCGAGCATGACCCAACTAGGCTTAGGTACAGGGGTGGGGGTAGCCGCCAGTTGGTTTAGAGAGAAGTGAATAGAGTCAGGGAGACCACAGCTGACCCTGCGTGGGGTGCTCACTCCTTTCTCCTGCCCTGAGGTTGGGACAGCCGTGTCCACTGGGAGCCTGGGAGCCTGGGAGCCTGAGGACTGAGCTGCACCCTCCGACTGTGCTTCCCCACAGGGTCAGAGTGTGCCACCTCATGCCTGGACCACAACAGTGAGCCCATCATCCTCCCAGTGAACGTGACTGTGCGTGACATCCCCCACTGGCTGAACCCCGCACGGGTTGAGGTGAGTGGACAGGGCCCTCCATCTGCTGCTAAAGGCAGGGGGGATGACATTGATGGGCCCTTACCGTGTCCTGGTCCTGAGTTATCCCTGACACATGTTATCTTTCACTGAACCTTCATACGTGCCCTGGGGGCAGGAGGTGGGGTTGTTTACAATCATTTCTTGGTCCTTAATTATTTAATACTTTCTCTCTGTCACTATTGTCCCTCTGAATGGTGATGACAGCCTAGGAATTTGAGCACTGACCACCTTAGTTTACAAATGAGGGAATCGGCACCAAGAACGCAGGTAGGGAGCACAGAGCAGGTCAGACAGTGCCGTCCCTTTCTGACGGGACCTGTCTGTCCTCGGAAGCATAACGCTATATGACTTCTCTGACACTTTCCACTTTACACATGTGAGTTGCTGGTGTCTTTCTCCAAGCTTTACCTGTTTGGCAGAAAGCAATTAATATGTGATATAGAAAGCAAGTGATGCCTGTCGTTTCTGGAACACCTGCTTTGTTCACATGCAAGGCACTGAGCACAAGGCTGCATTAAACCTGAGGACAGCAGGATGAGGGAGGGGTCGTGGTTTGCGTTCTCTGGTTGTGGACACTGAGCTCTCAGAAGTGATGTGATGGGCCCAGAGCTAGGGCTCAAGTCCAAACCTGAGTCTGGGCTCTGCATGCCCCCTGCCATGCTGGACTGCTGTGCCTCCCGGCCAGGTGACTACAGAGGGCCCCCACCTTGAGCAATATCAGTTTGACTTTGAGCTTAGCTGTTCCTCCCTTCCCCGTGTCATCTAATCAGCTGGGTCCCCAGAGCCAATGTGGACTGGCTTCTTGTCCTCCAGGGCACTGCAGAGTCAGGGCTCATGTGTGGCTTTGGACCTTGGCTCACCCTGGAGAAAGTGAGAGAGAGAAGGAGGCGGGGGTAGGCTCAGGCAGCCATATGCCTCTCTGTGGGTCTACTGCCCAGGGCGCTGACAGGCCTTGCAGTCCAGAGAGCTGCTGTCTGCCCGCCTGCTACAGATCGCACTCTGGATAGCTGGGCAGAACTCGATACCGGGTGTACTGTTTCTCAAATGAGCCGAGGGCATGGTTGCCAGGGCTTACTCAGCACTCTGGGCACAGGGACCAGCCAGACGCCCTCCGCTGCGCCGTGCACCCGGCATTCCCCTCTTCTTTCGCCTTCCTCTTTCTCTTTTGCTCTCTCTTTTCCTGTCTCTACTTCGTCTCTCCAGCTTCATTTCCTTTTTCCTGCCTCTGTTTCTCTTTCCTGCCTCTCCTGGTGTCTCTTTCATCTTGTCCTGCTTCCCTCTCTCCTTCCCACGTGCTTTCCTCCTCTGTCCTCATCCTCCCTCCCTTCCTTTCTCTCTCTCTTTTTCTCTGCCTCTGACTCTCCCCAAGACAGTTCTGTCTTCCCTACACTCCAGCTCTGTCATCCACTTCCTCCACCTCAATGTGCTTGTCCTCATTCCTAGACCAGAATCCCCACACAGATTAATCCCCACACAGATTCACCCTGAAGGTTCCGTGCAGGCTGACGTGCTGAACTCTTGCAGGAGCATGTATGTGGCCCACAGGTCAGTCTTGGGCAGCTGGAGAGCCCCACGTGCAAGCCCCTCATTGCACAGATGGGGAAGCCGAGGATCACTGAGGGAGAGGACCAGTCCACCGGCTTTCCTCCCTTAGCCTGTCCTGAACCCGCACCCCTCAAAGCAAGTGAGTCTTCCTCATACACACGCAGACACAGGAGGCCTCCCTCCCACCCAGTATCAGAGGACTTCTTGGCCTAGCCCAGCCTCCCACAAGAGGCCTTTTCCCTACCCCTGCAGTGAATTTCCACCCTTCCCTCTGTGAGCCCTAAAGAGTTCAGTTATAATTCACTGTGAAATAAATCCAAGGATCTGAAAGCCTGTGAGCTGCCCCCTCCCCACCCCCCGTGGCCCACCCGCCGCCCGCCCGTCCAGCCCCCACCCAGCTCCCTGGTCTGCCCGCCTTTATTGATGCCGGCCTACCGAGAGAACCATAACGAGGTTCAGACCTCCACCGGTCTCTGGAGGCCTCATTATCCAGGAGGAAAAAAAATGTGGTAGAAAAAGGGAGGAGGGCGAAGGGCAGAGATTGATGGTTTCCAGGAATAAAGCAGAAACGCTGGCCTCTGCTGCACCCTTGCCCCGTGTGCGGCGAGAGCTACAGAAATAGAGCTGCTGGTGCAGCGTTTCCAGGCCGGAGGAGGCCCTGGAGGGCTCTCCTGCTCTCTGAGGGGCCACTCGCGAGCCCTCATGCAAGGAGGCAGGCCGGGTGAGGCTCTGCTCCAACGCCCACCACCTTTGTCCCCAGGGTAAGAGTCAGAGGTGAGAACTGGCGTGCAAAGGATGCCTGCTGTGGCCAGGTGCTGGACCGGCTCTGCCCATCCTTTATCCGTGTCGCTATCCCCCACACCCACACACAGAGACAGCCCTACATGGTGGGTCTGAGTCTCTTCATGCTTAGGGGTAGGAAACAGAATCTCTGCGATGAAAGCCACTTGCCTAAGAGGAATGGAAGAGAGACCCCGGTCAATCTGATGCCGCAGTTGACTCTAGCTATCCCTGTGGCCTCTGGGGAATAGAAAATAATATTAATATTATTAATAATGAAGACAAGCAAGACCTTTACTGATCACTTATCAGGGACATGCTAGCTGATGTTTAATAACTGGCTCTCTGCAAAACCCCGATTGGTAGCATTTGCCAATTTCTATGATATAAATACTCCCATGGTGGCGGATTTCAAGGTCTCCAAATTGCCATCACTGAACACAAAGTTGGGAAGATACGGTCACTATTGGCTCTTGTGAGCCTGTGCAAGCTGGCCGCGGCTCACCCCTGGCACTTCCTCAAGATCAGCTCTATTTTAGGCATTTTACTTGTATTGACATGTATGAAAAGAATGGGAATGACTAGGAAGAGTAGGATATCCATGCTGAGAATATGGGGGTCATGTGTGGTGATGAGCACCCCAGAATGGTGAGCTCCATGAGGGCAGGGCAGTGGTTATCTCATCCAGGTGCCTAGAGCACAGTAGATGGTTACTAAGTACGTATAGTTGCTGAGTCAGGTGGCCAAGTGTCTGGTCTAAGCTGCTTGCTGCATGTCCTGGGACAAATCCATCATTTCTCTAGGCTGCAGTTTTCTCATCTGTACAATGAGCCCCCGGGCCAGGTGGAGCATGGTGTGTGTCGTGAACTCAAACACCAGTAGGACTAGGCAGGTAGAGAAACAGGTGAGGCAGACCAAGCAAGCTATTTTGTATATTGAATACTTAGGCATATTACTACAACTAGTGGCAGCAGTTTTTATTATAAATATTTCAGAAAGACAGATGGAATTACAGAAAAATATAATAAACTCTCATATAGCATTTATTATACTTAAATAATAAGTATTTAAGTTTTTAAGTTTATTAAACTTAAGCCAGTATTTAAGTTTGTTAAACTTAAGCTAGAGTTGAAGTTCCTTTTATTGAGATAGAGGTTACATGCTAATCTTAAGCTTGACACATTTTTATATTGGTGTGCACTCATGAAAAATTCCCCAGACAGGCCTCCCCTGCCCATGCTGTGCGGTGCCTCCATTGCCAAGGTAACCAGTGTTTTGGTTTTATCCCTATAAATTGCTTTTGCTTATTTTTGAACTTCGTATAATTGAAATCATAGAGCAAGGGTCCTCAAACTTTTTAAACAGGGGGCCAGTTCACTGTCCCTCAGACCGTTGGAGGACTGGACTGCGGGCCTTGGGATGAGTCGGCTGCTAAGCAGGACAGGCAGCGGCAGCAAAAACACCCGGTGGGCTGGATAAATGTCCTAGGTGGGCCCGCATGTGGCCTGAAGGCCGTAGTTTGACGACCCCTGTAGAGTGTATGTCTCATAAGGTACCTTCATAAATATATATTTTTTAACTTCCACGAAGAAAAACACTCTGTTCCTTCTTTTTTTCCCCCCTAAGTTTTCCCCTTCTCAGTTCCCCTGCCTACATACACACACTTGTGAAAAAGATAGAGAAAAGAGAACTCTTCCTTTAATCTAATAAATGAGATGATACAAACTCAGTGACAGAAGGAAATCCCCCTCAGGTGCAATGTTGGAGAGACTGCAAGGAATGGTGGAGATTGTGGCAAATTAGGACTTTTTCCATTTGTTTTTGTTTTGTTTTATTTTTGGTTGTTTCCAGAGGAGGGGCAACCGTAACCTAGTGTAGCAATGTGGAGATGTGGTACTACTATGGCCATATTTTCCATTTTTTCTAGCGTAACAGAAAACTGGCGTTTTAAAAATTTGAAATCTCTCATATATATATATATATATATATATATATAAACTAATTTTGACTCTGGTGAAACACTTGTATGCCAAACCAAACATTTCTGTGGTTTGTGTAGCCTAGAAGCTATTGACTTGCAACCTTTGGATGAGCTAGACTATTCCAGTCTGGATATCTTGATTTCTGGGGTGGCAGCCTGCCTCCCTCCAGTTCCTAAGGAGTATCTCCAATCTGCCTCAACACTTCCCCTTGCTCAGGGAGGCTGGGAGAGTTTCACAACAGAAAATGCATCTTCCATCTTCAGAAATTTATAATTCTTCTAGATTGATGAAACTTTAGCTTTTATAATGGTTTCTGGGAAAAGAATAAAAAGAAGAAAAAGAAGAGGGGAGATAGGGAGGGAATTGAATTAACGAAATAAAAGATAAATTATCCTGTCCTGACTGTCCATGATATCCAGGCACTGTTTGCTAAGCAATTCCTTCTGTTTGACCTCATTTTGCTTCCACTGCACCCAATGGAGTCAAGAGTATCACCATTTTCCAGATGAAGAAGCTGAGGCTCTGAGAAGTTGTCCCTGCCCAATTCACACAGCTAATGTGGGTGAATTAGCCAGAACATTCTGCTGCATTCCATCCTCCAAGGCAACTATCATACACATTAAAAAAAAAAAATGCAGCATGTTTGGACAGAAGATGAAGAATTTAGGTATATTTTTGGAAAACCTTGCCAAGAGTCTAAAGGTCAGAGGTAGAGTGTTTTTGAGATCCTATTTAGTCTGTTCTATCTGATGTACAAATGAACATAACAAGTGCCCTGTGAGGGAAGCCTGTAGATGAGCAAAGTGTCCAGGATCCACTATGCTCATTCACTCATGGACACACTCATTCCCTCATGGGCACACTCATTCACTCATGGGCACACTCACTCATTCACTCATGGGAATACTCACACATTCACTCATGGGCATACTCATTCACTCATTTGATTGCTTATTCACTTGTTCAGTAAACATTGATTATGTACCTTCAAATGGATATATATTCTTCAAATATTCTTCAAACACTAGGGATACGGAGTGGGAATGCCTAGGCTTTTAAAAAGCCAGAAGCTCACTGACTGATAACAAAAGGAAAATTGATGAGGAAGAGGATGGTATGAATCATTTATATCAGGTCCTGTAAATCCAGAGAAAAAAAATCAAGGGAAATGAAGGGCTTATCTTAGAAGACATCCAGGAGGGAGTTATACCTGGGCCTTAGGGTGCCTTCTCACCTGTAGGGGGTTCTGAGTGGGGCTTGTCTTCTCTGGACTCCATTTTTAGATACTCTGCCCCTGTCCAACATTTGTCTCAAAGGGGCTCTCCATCTTTATAAACCTTAATCTTGCCATTAGTCAAAAGAACAAGCTGTTTTTATACTTAACAGCTTCAGTGGCTAGTACACTTTGAAGGAGAATGTAGTGCTCAAAGCATAGACCTTAGAACCAGATGGATGTGGGTTTAATTGCTGACCATCACTGCCTATGTATTACAATTTGGGGCAGGTCATTTAACTTCTCTGTGCCCCAGTTTTCTCTTGTGTAAACCAGATTCAAAAATAGCGCTTATCTCATAGTTATGGTAAGAATGAAATGAAATGAAATCTCTGAGCCCAGGGCTTAGAGCATAATATTTATTTAATAGAAGTTGTTGTGTGGATGTGGACCAGGATAATGCTGGTGATGATGCCTTTGGGGTTGTCAGAGGTGATGGTGGTAGAGCTACAGTTTAATATTGGTGATGATGGTAGCAGTGATGGTAGTGCTAGGGAATGAAGATATGGAGGAAGAAGAGGATAATGGTGGTAGTGGTGATGAAGATGATGGTGAAGGTGACAGTGGCCCTGTTGGTGTTGAATGATGATGTTCATTGCAGTTACAGAGAAAAGGCAGCCTATTCTTCCAACCCACCAACGCAAGACATGAAAGCTATCTTACAAAACCTGGTCTGAAAGGCTCCGGCTGATCTAGATGGCCCACTGGCATCAAGAAGAACAAGGCTGACTTGGGAAGGGCCCCATCTGGGCTCTCCCAATATGTGCTGTAAACAGTTCAGTCTTCCCTTCAGCCCCCACTGCCCATCCCCTTTCCCAGTCCTCCCAGCACACAGAGGGGCCCTGGAGTGAGACAGGTGGGGCGTGCAGCCCTGAGTAATAGTGGAAAATCCAAAAGCCTTGGAAAGATAAATAGGTTCATGCAGATAGTATAAAAGTCCTTTCTCTGAAATCACGTCAGGTAAACCTCAACTGACAGAAACTTGTACGACCACACCAAGACACTCCGCCTTACGGATTAAATTAGCTCTCAGATAAACCTGGGGAGGGATGGGCATCAAATCCCTGGTGGATTCTAACACCTTGCTGTTTTCTGCTTCTTGAATCTTTATTAAATGCCCTCCAATGTCCCTGGATCTTGACTGGGAACAGAGAATGAAGTCAGGTGATTCTATCCACACTGGCCCACAGAATGACGTCAGGTGATTCTATCCACACTGACCCACAGCTGGGAAACGGGGGAAGAGAGTAGCTAAACTGGAAGGAGAGAATACTGAAGCTACTCTCAAGCCCTTATTTGCATTTATATCATATTCCTTCATGCATTTGTTCACTGTTTGTTCACCATGCTCCCTACTTTGTTTTTTGTTTTTTTTTTTAAGACAGAGTCTCAGTGTGTCACCCTCGGTGGAGTGTTGTAGCATCATAGCTCACAGCAACCTCAAATTCTTGGGCTTAAGCAATTCTCTTGCCTCAGCCTCCTAAGTAGCTGGGACTACAGACACCCACCATAACACCCAGCTATTTTTTGTTGCAGTCGTCATTGTTGTTTAGCAGGCCCAGGCCCGGTTTGAACCCACCAGCCTTGGGGTATATGCCTGTAGCACAGTACCTACTTCATTCTTGAGAGAGACAGAGGTGGCTAAAACTCTGGACCTGCCAGAGATACTTAAGATACTTAAGAAATTTGTCCTAGGTTAACCGTGTTCATATCATTCATCCCAGTGCATCATTGCAGCAAGCCTGTGACATTTTTAGTAAACATTTTATGATGGGAGAACCGAGCCTCGTCATGGAAATTCCAAGTCAGAAGTGCAGCTATACCTGCCCCACCTCAAATCCCATGGCTTTCCTTGTATATCCACGTATTTATTTACATCCTGTGCATATGAGGCACCGTTCTAGGCTTGAGAGCTCCAGTGTGAGCCAGAGATGCCATGAAGCAGAGAAAAAAGACACCCCAGCCAGTCTTAGCCTGGAGTCGCCTGACTTCCCTTGCCACAAGCTTGCCGAGAAACCTAATTACAGTTTGGCTGCCCTGTAGGTCTTCCCTCAGGGAGCGAATGGGCTGGTCACATGGCTTCTCCACATTCTGGCCCATGTGACTGTTCATTTTTAAATTAAAATTAACTGGCTTTTCTTCACGACAACAAGCCCCGATCATACAGACCTCTGTGACTGGTTGCTGACAACCAGCTAGTTAGAACCAGCTGACAAGATTACCTCTAATTGCAAATCTAAGCTTGTGCCATTTGTTTTATTTTATTACTTTATTTTATTCTTTAAGGAAATAATCATACTATGGCATGAAAACTGAGGCATTGGGAGGCACCTGTGGCTCAGTGGGCAGGGTGCCGGCCCCATATACCAAAGGTGGCTGGTTCGAACCCAGCCCCCGCCAAACTGCAACAAAAAAATAGCAGGGTGTTCTGGAGAGCACCTGTAGTCCCAGCTACTCAGGAGGCTGAGGCAAAGGAATCACCTAAGCCCAAGAGCTGGAGGTTGCTATGAGCTGTGACGCCACAGCCTCTACCAAGAGTGATAAAGTGAGACTCTGTCTCTAGAAAAAGAAAAAGGAAACTGAGGCATCTGTGGAGAATGGAAGAGGGAAGTTCTAGGATTTTTATGGTCTCCCCACTCCTGACCCTAGTTTAGCTTCCTGGTGTTATTTATCTTTCTTCTTTCACTTGCTTAAAAAAAGATATCATCATACTGGATTTTACATTATGGACTCCCTTGAATCATTGGTGGAACAACTGTTTTCAAATCCTGATTTCTCCCCCTAAGAGCTATGGAGCTTGGGGAATTTATTTTCTTATGACGTAAGATTAATGCCCACCTCACAGCATGCTGGCAAGAAATACATGGGATAATGTATAAAGTAATTAGCCCCACAAGTGCACTCAATATATTGTAGTTGTCATTATCATCATCATAACTATTATTATTAAAGGAGGCCATAAGTGAGTGTGTATATGCATGCTACAAAGCACCACAGAAGAACGAAAGTTTGTGTAGATCTTTCAAAGGTAATTAAGGATTCTCCAAGTGACAAGGTGGGGAAGGGCATTTTATTGAAGGGGAACAGCAAGAACATTTTCACTGAGCTACGAAGTGTGGACAACCTCGGGCACCTGTGAGCAAACCCTTATGGCATCCTAGCAGGTAACAGCAGGAAAGCTTCTGTGCCTCTCCAGGTTAGAACCAGAGGTTCTCTCCTTCCCCCAACAGCCCACTTGCTCTCAAACTGCAGTGTGCAGCAGAATCATCTGAGAGACTTTGTTGAAAATGCAGAATTCCAGAACCAGCCTCAGAGTCTCTGATTCATTAAACCCAAAGCAGGGCCAAGGAATCTGCTTTCTTGCTGTGCCTCCACAGAGATGAAAAGTGGTCCTGATGAAGGTGGTCCTCAGCTCACGCTCGAGAAACCCTGCTTTGCTCTTTCTCCCACTTTGTATTTTTGCCACGGCCGTGCACATGTGTGCACCCCAACACACAAGTGCCCACATAAGCACACCCTACACTTCCTCCTCCCACCTTACACCTACTCCCCCAGTGGTTCAAACAGCAGCCAAGGCTTTTCTGAAGGGCCTTTCTGATCATGTTTCCATCTCCCAGTTCTGCTCCTCCTCGGCCCTTGTTCCTGCCAGGGAAATACAGAATCATGACACATACAGTGAACACAAATATTATTTTAATCTTATGGCTCCTGTTATTGCAAGTACCTGGGCAAGTTCTCCATGTAAATGCCAGGGTGAAGTCAGGACTTGGAAGGTCCAAGAAGAGGTGGGGCGGTTGAATGTGGTGCCAGCACAGAGGTGGCTCCCTCCCCATCCCAAACCCATCTGACCTCTCTCTCCCTCTCTCTGCAGAGAGTCGTCTGCACTGCTGGGCTCAAGTGGTATCCTCACCCTGCTCTGATTCACTGTGTCAAAGGCTGCGAGGTGAGTCACAAGGGAAGACACTCCTCAGCTTCCTAGAAATAATCACGCAGATATTCTTGTGGTATGAGTGATGGCTAACATTTACCGTACCTACTGTTACAAATGTCCATTTAGCTGACTTCTCAGACAGGGATCAGTAGCCCTGTCTTACAGATGATGGAACTGAGGCACAGACATGTGAAGAAACATTCTTATAAGGGACAGGTAAAGTGTGATGGAGTTGGGATTCCAAGCCAGGCTTTTGTGGCTCCAAAACCTGTGTTCTCCATCAGACTGGAGTGTAAAGAAGGAAGGGTAGACGGCCAAGTTGATTTAACATCTATAAGACCCCAGAGATTGTCCCAATAGTATCATATTGAACCTTTGCAGAGTCACGTGAGACGTGTTTTTAAAATTTCCATTTCACGGGTGCCCTTTACTTGCAGATCCATTTGTTTCTGCCCACACGTTAGTTGTTCTCTCATTCTTTAACCCCAGAAGGACCGTGGATGCTTCACAGCCCACTCCACCACTGAGCTCAAGCACAAGATCCTTTCTGATCCTTAAATCCTCTGACATCACAGTTGAGTCATTGCCTGGAGCTTGAAGTTTTGGAGATCTGGCTCTGTGTGTCAGTGGGGACAGGCCTGGTGGGGACAGAGAGAGACAAGTTCTTGGGATGTTAGCTGTGTTCTCAGGGGAGGACATGGAACTCAGAGACATTTCTGTGCATTGCTATGCCCCTAGTGGTTCTTCTCAGCTGGCAGTGGAAACAAAAGCCATAAATCCCTTCCAGGTGGCTGTCTGAATTGCTGTGGTCTCCCCCAGAGCCCACTGAAGAAAATGCAGGTGAAAAAGACAACCCTGCTCTAAAAACACTCACATTGAATGAAACTCTGGAAATGTCAGAGCCAGAAAACTCCTTTGAGATAGTCTTCTAAACCTAACTTATTATTGGAAAGGTGGAGAAACAGAGGCCTAGATAGCAGGTGGGTCTAATAGCAGGTTCCATCATTAATATTCACTGGAACTCCCAAACTGGGGAAGTGTTAGTGTGAGCCAGCTCTGTTTGCTTGTTGTATATGGTGAAGACAGAGGGGAAGGATGGGTCTGAGTTTGCACAGCGTGATAGTCACAGAGTCAAAGCACAAGCCCAGGTCTCCTGATGTCCAGGCTGATGCTTTCTCTCCTCCACTAGGCTACAGAGACATTCCCTGACCTGTCAGTGTCACAAGACAGTCCTTGGGTCGCACGTTTCTTTCTGTACATAAGTTAGGGAGAACCCTCCACCCCCCATAATGACATCTAGGGCACTTGGCATTGTAGTCTTCAAGAAACTCATTCTCTTAAGCTTCAGTATGGAATGGCAAAACCAAGGCCAAAGAAAGCCCTGTGGCTCTTGCTTCCTTCCATCTCTCTGGATCAGCCCAGCATTTGGGAAAAGGAAGCTTGGGTTACCTGGGTGCTCATTCTGCTGAGTCGGCAGTCTGGGCAACCAGTATAACAGCGGAATTCAATCCCTTCTTTGACTCAGCAGTTAGGCCAAAGAGACCCTCACCTGTCAGGCACTGAGCCCTGCCAGTGATGCTTATCACCTTTGCCCTTGCAGGTGCCCTCATCTTTCTTCCTTAGCTTACAGCTAATAGTTTGTGTCTTGTCTGGCTGAAAAGTTATGCTTAGAAGAGATATAAATGCTGGGAGCAGGGAAAACTGCTCAACCTCAAGTATCTGGAGGAAGTCAAGATTTAAAAAAGAGTTTAGGGGCCCCAGATCTCCCCTGCCCTCTGCATCAAGCTAGATTCAAAGTGACCATTCACTCACTCACTCATCAGTGCTTCCCTGAGTGCCTCTTATATACCAGTTACTAATCTAAGTTCTGGGAATACAGTGGTTTTAGCCAAGTGAAAATCTATGTTCTTCCCAAATCATCTGTGATATCTTCTTGGCCATCCATCCTCCCTCCATCCATGTATCATTTACCAAATAAAAAAATTATGGGACATAGGTTTGATAAAGTTTTGCTCAAGTTGCCAGACATTTTGCTAGGAATGTAGGATACAAAAATGAATAGTACACACTCCCTGTTCATAAGGAATTCACAGAATAGTAAATAAGATCAACAATTAAAGAGAGAATTTCAAAATAATGTACCAAGAGCTGTCACCAAAACGAATACAAGAAGCTTTAGAAACACAGAGGATCCTGGCGCTATTAAGAAAGGCATTTGGAGGGTGATGTTTGAGCTGGATCTTGAAATATGTATGGGTTGTTTGCCCAAACACCTTACTAGTGGAAGTAGCAACATAAGAAACACCAGAAATGGGTTCATCACTCATAGCACAGTGGTTAGGCGCCAGCCACAGACATGGAGGGTGGCAGTTTCAAGGCCCACCCTGGCCTGCTAAACAACAATGAAAACTGTAACAAAAAATAGCCAGGCGTTGTGGTGGGTGACTGTAGTTCCAGTTACTTGGGAAGCTGAGGCAAGAGAATAGCTTAAACCCAAGAGTTTGAGGTTGCTGTGAGCTGTGATGCCATGGCACTCTACCAAAGGCAATATAGTAAGACTCTGTCTCAAAAAAAAAAAAAAAAGAACCAGAAATGAGAGAGGTTTCTAAGTAATAGAACTTTGCCTATGATGCTCCCTCTCTTTCCAGATTCTGTCTTTTCCACTCCCATCAATTAACTCCTATTCCTCTTCATGATCTCAGCCGAAACGTCATTTCCTTGGGGACGCCTTCACTGCACTCCCTGAGTAGATCAAATCGTTCTATTCTGTACTCTAATAACATCATGTGCTTTTCCTCCTCTTATCAGAGTTGAAATTGGTTGATTAGATGTGTGATTATTTGATTAAAGCCTGTCTCTTCACTAGAATATAGATCTAGAGAAGTAGGGGCTGTGACTCTTTTGATGCATTGGTGTATCTTCTCCTTAGCACATTGTGTAACACAGAGTAAGCATTAAATAAATAGGGTTGAAAGAGGATGGAAGGAAGGAAGGAGGAAGGAAGGAAGGAAGAGAAGGAGGAAGGAAGGAAAGAAAGGAAGGAAGGAAGGGAAGGAAGGAAGGGAAGGAGGAAGGAAGGAAGGGAAGGAGGAAGGAAGGAAAGGAAGGAAGGAAGGGAAGGAGGAAGGAAGGAAGGAAGGAAGGACGGACCTTTAGGAAAGTGCACATGGAGAGAGTAGCTAGTGATGAGACTGGTGATTTCTTTCATGCTCCAAATAAAAAGAACCACCTTCATTCATTTTCTTTTCTTCTTCCCCAGCTACTCCTTTACCAAGCTCATTTCTTTCATTGCAAGGAAGGGATAATTCTCCTTTATCAGTCTGTTCATATATTATATAAGAAAGGACATAAAGAACGTAGCCCCCAGGCAGACCTCCTGACACACAGAGAAAAGGAAAGGGGTTACCTTTGTTTGTTTTTTGTGTGTGCCCCTCTGTTCCGATATGAATATAATAATGTGTTCTTATGGAAGTCACACAGTGGAGTCACACCTGAGCTCACAGCCGTGCACAGGCACACACCTAAGCTAAGCTCTTATCTATTCTTAGCTGTCTCGCTATGATCTTTTTAAGACTCTAATAAGACAGGAGGAAATGGAATCTGGCATTATGTTGGGAACGCAATGGCTCTGGGAATGAGAATTTGGAACAGAGATGCAGCCACTGGGGGTGCTACGTAAGATGAACTCCTTGTGAGCTTGGAGCTCTCCAGAGTAGTTGGAAGGGGAGATCACTGGATCGCAGGTGGTGTGTTGGGATGACGGTTTTAAACAAACGCCATCATCTTCTTTCCCATCAATGAGCCACTGGGTGTTAGGGACCCTCTGCACCCCGCTAAGCAGAGTGGTTTTTACTTTGATCTGTTCTCTACATTGTATGTGATGAGGTGGGGGAGAGGAATAGGTTCATTCCTTTGAGAAATCAGTAGACTGTCCTAGGCTCTTGTTTCACGAGTGGGAGTACTGAGGCCCAGAGAAGATAATTCACTTAACTAAAATCACCAAGTCACCACCCAGTTGGCTGAGGTTTGGAGGACGAAAACACAGGCGTTCTAAATCCCTGCCAACTGCTCTTCCACCAGGCCACTACAATTTCATTCCACTTGACAAGCATTGCTAAGGACCAAAGCTGCACACTGCACTAAGCTAAGTGATCGAGAGGCAAAGACAAACCAGACATTGCCTGTATCTTTGAAGAGTTCACGGTTTTACACAAGCTACAGAAAAGTAAACAGGCCACGGCTACTCCATGCTGATTGTCGGGAGGGGGAAATACAAATGGGAGAGGAGTTACGAGACTCCTGGATTTTTCCTGAGATGGCTCCGGGTTCAGATCTGAAATGACTTGACTCTATCCTTTCCCTCATCTTTGGAGCACCAAAGGGGTGGATGAGGACAGAGAAGAAAAGAAATAAATCAGCATATGCTAGAACAGCCTAGAGAGAGAAGTTAAAAAAAAAAGCAAAAACATATGGCAGCTTGGATTTAAGTCACTCTCCTGACTCTGCCAGTGTGATTTTGGCCAAATTTGTCTCACTGAGACTTGGGGTCTTGGTCTGTAGGGTAACAATGCCTACCTCACATGTTTGGAGAGCCAAAGGAGAAAACAGACTGGAAAGCGTGTGACAGTATGCACATCTGTGTCCTCTGTTAGAGCGAGCCCAGCATTGTAAACAGATGATGTGTCAAATTCCTATGAATTCTTACATGTTATCTTTATAACTCTTGGGCAGTTTATATTGAGCTTTCTAATATGTATATTCGAATATAAGGTATCCATAAAGTTTATGTGCAATTTAATTGCCCTCGGACTTTATGAACACCTGGCATTTTTTGATGTTTTTAACTGCCTCCTATTAGGAAATGTAAGGGAAAGAAGTCTCACTTTTTTTTTTTTTATCATTTCTCCATGTAAAACGAGCCCTGTATTCATAAGATATAAGTGCTCTTTCCTTTGCACCTGTGCGTTGCAAGAGTACATCTCTCAGCATAACCGCACTCTAGTTGGGAAAAATTTGGCTCCACGAGAGTCTGTATACATGGTAGATGTGGTACCTTTTCCGAGGGGGGTGCTGGCATTTGAAGATGGACAGGCTGACTGCCGGGGTGTGTGAGAAGATGAGACACCTGAACGACCACAGAGGCCTCAGTGAAGGGGGGCAGCCCACTCACTCCCTCACCCCAGGCGGCTACGGAGGCCTCATTGCCTGCTTCTCTCTCCCCTTATAGCCCTTCATGGGAGACAATTACTGTGATGCCATCAACAACCGAGCGTTCTGCAACTACGATGGTGGGGATTGCTGCACCTCCACAGTGAAGACCAAAAAGGTAGGCTGGTGTGTGTCCCGGGCAGCGCCTCCTCCTGGCCAGAATCGCTCCTACATGCTGGACCACCCATTGTCCAGGCTCTGCCAGCACTCTATCTCCAAGCTTTATTGTGTTGTGTCTTTAAGCTTAGACTCGGGTATGGAGGCAGATAAATAAAGGTGCAATAAGTACTTTTAGAAGAGGAAGGACATGGTGTTGTGAGGGCCTAGCTGAAGGTTCAGAAAAGGGGCTGCTGGAACCTGAGGGCTAAGGGGAAGGGGCAGGGCCAGGGAAGTACTGTTGGGGCAGAAAACTGGTATGTAAAATTCTAGAGAGAATACATATTTGGGGGGAGGGAATGGATGAAGCCTAGGAGGAAAGAGAAAATTGGACATTCCCTATAAGGTCAAGTATGACCTTAGGAAATTTTACAATCTATTTGGTTTTTCTTAGAAAATAGAAATAAGGGAGGGTGATGATGTGGTCATGATTTTCTTTCTTTGCGTGTTAAGATACACATAGGGGTTTTCAAATACATAGGGAAAAATGGAAGCATTCAAATGAGATGCATATCACCCAGTCCAAGAAAGTGGCCACCTACCATTTCCCCCAAAGTAGAGCTGAGACCAGAGTTTGGGGCTACAGCCACATGTGGGGAGAGAGGAGATAAACCTGGCCAACCTACATGGGGAAAAGCTCTCGTATCTCTTAATGAATGAGTTAATAGGAAACTGTTTCTATTTTTATACTCATCTGAGCTGAAAGATCATGTGATCTCAAAGATCATTTAAAGTAATCTCTCATTTTAAGGAAGGCAAAACAGAGTTTCTGAGACAGAAAAAGCAAAGAATCACAGTCAGTCATCGTTAAAGAGCCCCCTATGCTTATGTGGCCCAAACTTTTCATTTTACTGATGGGGAACTAAGGACCATAAGGGAGAAATGATTTGGCCCAGGTGGCAGAGCGAGTGATAGAGAGAGGGGTTCCTGGCTTCCAGTCCAGGTCCTTTTATATTACAACGTCTGTAAGTGAGTTGGTTCCTTCAAGAAGGATGTTCTAACCTAGAATGTGGGGCTGAATGGGGCAAGACCCAAGGAGGAGACCATTACCAAATCTTCTGGGTGACAAGTAGGGTTGCTGAGGCCGTCTGGGATCATTCAGTCCCATCTGGGTAACATTTTTCAACATGCCTACCCTGTTTTTTGGTTTTGGGTTGGGTTTTTGATAAAACACTGAAAGACAACATTTTCTGGTTAAGAGAATAACATTCATTTTCTGTTAAAAAATTGTGCTGTTTTACACAATTATGAAATAATACATATTTTAACCTTTGGAAAAATCCAGAAAGAAGAAACAAAAAAAAAAAAATTCACTTCTTTGCCTTACAGCCCAAAGATAACCATTGCTTTCTTTTTGGTGTATTTTATTCTGTGTACTTTGTTAAGTGTGAGGTAGATGTGTCTATGTAACGTGACTGCATTTCCAGGTTGAGATCTTGTTCTGCTTGGTTTTATTTACTCAGCAAAGGAAACAGTATACAAAGGAATTCTCTGATGTTCGTAGAAACTTGTCACCTCTCTTTGTGCTGTATTATGGTTTATTATCTGGTTGGGAGGTACAATAGTGCACACGACCTTCACCTCGACTCTTACTTTTAGCTTTTGGATTATTTCTGTTTCGTATAATTGTAAATAATGATGTTAATGGATATCATCACCCTTAATCTTATAATAGCTCTAGTTACCCCTTTATAGCGTAAGTGTACTTAAGATTCTCAATGCCTGTTTCCTAACAAATCCAGGCTACAAAACTATTTCAATCCATTGAAACAGGCCAATTTTTAAGTGAATGGACAAAGAGGTTTTTGTTTTAAATAGAAATTTTTGTAGAGTTAAGACACCATTGGGCACTATCAGTTGGATAAATAACAGTTCTAATAATAATCATTTCTCTACCTACTGTAACTTACGTACTAAAACATGAGAAAACTTTAGAGGCTGGGCACAGTTGCTCACGCCTTTCATCTGGTACAGACATTTCTTTGGGTGGAGGGAGCTTGGCTGTCTGTAATCTGTAAACTGTCCAAAAGGAAAAAAACAATGGCTGAAGGTAGGAGATCTTTTTAGCATGAAAAGCCCAAACTACATTTATAATTTGGGTGGACAATAATAATAATACTACTAAATAAAGGCTGGGAACACACTCAGAACTAACTGATTCTGAGTTCAGAGGTCCCAGAGGAGAAGAGGCAGTGCTTATCTCAGGGCCTGGTAGTCTGAAATTGCTGCAGTAGAACCCAGTGCAGGGACAGAGTCTTAAAACAGTGACTTGCTTACTTACACATGTATACACTAAAGTTACTAGGGTACTTTGGGATCCACACCTGAGCCTTCATGTCATGAGTTCATATTGCTACCATGCACTCTGTAGAAAGAGTAAGCCACTTAAAGAAGTCCCACTCCAAAAAGGTTTTTTTTGAAATAGAGTTTTACTCTGTTGCCCTCAGTAGAGAGCTGTGGCCTCACAGCTCGGCTCGCAGCAACCTCACACTCTTGGGCTCAAGCAATTCTTTTGCCTCAGCCTCCTGAATAGCTGGGACTAAAGGCACCCACCACAGCGCAATTATGCCTTTAATTTACCTGTGTGGAGAGACAATGAAGAAAAAGTGTAGCACCTGTGGAGAATGGTGTGCAGGCCAGGGAGAGCTCCCCTGAGGAAGTGGCACGTCCGCTGAGTCTCAAAGAAGGAGAAAGGGACTTAGCGGTCACAGCACATACTGGTTGGGAAAAGAAGGGAGAGGACCTGTTAGAGCTGTATTTGCCGGACCTGTTAGAGCTGTATTTGACACATGGATTAGAGTAAAGGCCTCCCTTGTGGCAGATATGACTTTGCCTTAGTTATTTTGATTGTTCACGGGTGTTTGAGGCTTTTCAAAGGGGAGATTCCTGGAGATTCCAACAATTTTCATGTCCCACTTTAACTTTTTTTTTTGAGACAGAGTCTCACTTTGGTGCCTAGGGTAGAATTCCATGGTGTCATAGCTCACCGTAACCTTAAATTCCTGGGCTCAAGCAATCTTCTTGCCTCAGCCTCCCAAGGAGCTGGGACTACAGGTGTGCACCACTACTACCTGGCTCATTTTTCTAATTTTAGTAGAGATGGGGTGTTGCTCTTGCTCAGGCTGGTCTCAAAATCCTGAGCTCAAGCAATCCTCCCACTTTGGCTTCCCAGAGTACTAGATTATAGGTGTGAGCCACCCCGCCTGGCTCCACTTCAACTTTTAAATAAACTCCAATTTCTTGAAACATTTATCCTTTGTTGGACAAATGCTTTCTGCAGTAGACTAGTTTACACATGGTAAAAGATGGAGAAAATAAATAATAACATAACATGCCATGCAATGTCCACTCTGCTGGACACTTGGCTTCTGTGGTCCTCTTTAATCCTCATGTCAACCCTGACAGGTTTCTGCTATTGTCCTCATCACACAGACAAACCAGTTCAGACTCAGAGTACTTCAGAGACTTGCCCAAGTTCACTTGGCTAGTGAGTGGTGAAGCTCCAATCAGAACCCAGTTCTGTCTGACTCACAAGACCCCCTTCTTTGTCCTGCCCAAGGCTGAGTCTCACAAGAGAACAGCAGTAGGGAAGGCCTGTGTCCTTGGTGCACCTGGGCACGACCCTTCCAGTTCTAGTTGGAGACATTTCACCATGAGTCCAGACTGCCAGGGAATCTTGGATGTGGGACCCCTCCCTTGGCAAAGAGGAAAGCAGCTTTTCCCAGCAGCAGAGACAGGGCGGGAGTAGGTAGGGCTTCCAGCCTTGCCCATTGTCCCAGACATCCTAGGAAGCTCAGACAGGAGTTTCCTCTGGGTGTCCACAGGGCAGAAGAAAGTTCTGGTTTCTATTTTCAGCTTCCCAACTAAGAAGGCTCTTAATGCAGGAGAGGGGCTTCCTTCTTCTCATCCCCCAACTCCTGCCTATTGGACCTGTTTAGCTCCCATCTGTGCCCTTGACCCTAGTGCTACATCATGGGAATTTTTTTTTCCCTGAAGCCCCCAGGCTGGTACTCAGAAACTGAGTCGCAGGCAGATATGCTTCAGGCACTTCCCTAAATCACAAAGATTCTATTAATTGAGCACTTAACTTTATGCTGGGCTATGGCTGGGGTCTCTAGGTGTATTATCTCACTTAGACCTCAAAACAGTACAGCAAAGTAGAGAATCAAAGCTCAGAACTTGGAATAATTTGTACAAGTTGACAGAGCTGTATATAAGATTTAGCATGTCCTAACTACAAAAAAATTATGATAGTTAAGATTTATTGAGAGCTTATTGTTTGCCAAGCATCACGTTCACTGCTTTTTTTTTTTTTTCACATGTCGTATCAGCACAACTGCCCTGTTGTGTTCACTTCTTGTCCTCATTTTATAGACGATGAGACTGTGCCTGGAAGGGTTGTGGTCCCACAGCCAGTAAGTAGCAGAGCTGAGATGCAAACTAGCAAGTTTAAACCCCCTGGCACCTGCCTCTAACCCTTCTGAACACCTTGCTGCAAGGACATTGCATCTTACCCCCACCCCCCTCCTTTGAGAGTCAGCTTCTAGTTTTGTGGACCTCCTGGAATGGAGCTCTTGGTACGAAGGCCAGGCCCATGGTTAAGCTTCAGCACCTTCTCCCAGACTTCTTTCTTGCCAGCCTTCCCCCTAAGCCTCTTCCTGGTCCCTGAGCTGGGGCCTCCCAGTCCCTTGGCCCAGCCTGGTGCCTGTCTGCCTCCTTCATCTTTCCTCCCTTTATTTGTCTGTACAGTCACCAACTATTCTCCACATCTGTCTTGTGGGGTGACCTGGGCCCTGCTGGCACGACAAAGAGCTAGACAGTGCAGGAAACTCTGTGTGACGGGTTGTCCAGTTTCCCACCCAGACACCTGCCTGCAGTGTGAGGCAGGCAGGAAGGGGTAGGACTCACCTTCTCAGGATGTCAGTTTATTATTTTCCTGTCGGAGCCTTGAAGAGCCCCAGA